GTTCGGTGTGGGGCAATCCATTAGTTAGTACATGACTTCATAACTTACAAATCATCAAATAATCATCATCAAAGCATACTTAGCCGTGTCCACTCATAATAGCCAATCACAGCACTTAATTTTGGGAATATGCGGGGTGCGAATAAGGCACCGGACGAATTCTAGTATATACCCAGGAAAGTCTCCGGGTGAGCAATAGAGTATGTCTCCGAGTTCTCTATTCAGTATTGGCAAAAGCCGTAATCGGGCTCGGTTATCCAATCGAAAGCTGCTGCTGCATCGGCATTGTCAACGAGCCCTCCTACATAATCATCTTGCGCTGTCCATGGGCCGGAATAGGTAAGAAAAATATCATCGTACAGGGCAGGCCAGGCAGCGATGCTATCGGCATTCGACTCCAGCAAAGGGCCTTCTCCGCTTGGAGTCTCTAGCCAGGGATCAGCAGCCTGCGAAGGGCCCTCTTTGCGATCAACAGTCACCCTGCCAAAGTATGGCACGACAATCTCACGACGCTCTCCTTTGTGCAATCCTCGGCTGCTTTTCACTAGGTCTTTCAGCGTGGCATGGCACTGGCCAGATAATGAACCTGGTTGATCCTCTGACCAGCTGTACAACGCGATCAGCGTCCGTTCAATTAGCCCATCATCATAGACTCTCTCGGCGGTTCTCTCCTGTACTGCACCTGCAGCATCGTTCCTCCCATAACCAAGCATATTCAAGAAGACAATCACAGCTGCTGTTAGCGCACTCGGTGCTGATTGTTTGATGCTGTTGTCCGTGCGTGCCGCAGCAGGGTCACTCTCATGCAGGAGAAGATACGCTTCTAAAAGAGTCCTTGCGCTCCTCACACAAGCCATCCGGCTATACTCCTGCTTATCGCCTTGGGCTCCTTGCAAGAATAATGGCATGTATAGCTGTGCTTTCAAGCTGTAAACATGAGCCAGGCGGAAAGCCCGAGTGTGCCTGTTTTTTGCATCTCGACATCGTCTAATCTGCTCCAGATCCAGGTATCCGAATGGTAAATGCGCCGTAATCTCATCGATTTTCTCATCCACTCCCGTGACTGTGGATAATGTAGGACTTTTTTCAGACTGCAGGCAATCAATGACCCGACCAGTCAGGATTGACAGGTGTCGGTAATGAAAGTTGACTATTGACTCCTCTTCTGGTGGAGGAATATAAAGATCACAGATATTCTCGGGTACTGAATATGGCAGACCAATAAGCAGACTAACCCATCGGTCGGCCGAGAACAACTGCCAGAAAATTGTATCCAGACTCTTGGACTTCCGGTGTGTCCGATGGATTCCCGCAAGCTGCAAGAGCGTATTAGCCTTACGATATGTGGCCCACGCACGACGGGGCTGTAAGGAACTCATGAAGCAGAGCCCCAGGCCCATCAAACACTGCAAGCCATATATACTGCCAGCAAGCTCATCATTATTCAGGATCCAATGTTCTACTGAAGAAAGATATTTTGCAAAGTCACCCGTGCTGAGAGCAAAGCAGAGTAAGAGACTTCCAAGTAGAGCGGGATGACCGGTCTGGAAGGTCCGAATAGCGAACACCTCAAGGCTGGAATCGCCTTCGTCGCCCCAGCTTAGCCCGAACGATTCACGCCAGGAGTTCCACCATCCACTTTTAGTCTTGAAGATTCCGTTCATTTCAAGTTCTGTTGGTAATGCCGCAAGTAGGCCTTTGAGCGCTTCAGCATGTTCAGTGGGCTGGTGAGATGGGTAGGTCTTGTTGCGCTTAGATTTTTGACTTGATACTTGCTGAGATACCTCTTTCTCAGCCTCGGGAACTCGACCGATCTGTTCATCTCAGCTTGATCCTGGCCGCGGTACCGTAAGGTATCCTACCAATTCATGGTTCAAAAGCTTCATGATCGGGGCACGATCACTTTGTATTGAGTCGGCCCCACGTGATGGACCGACGACATCTCGGGCTGGGACATTACTACGAGTCGATTTCAACGATATCTCGATCCTGTTTTGTAGACCTTTCAGAGCCACCAGGACGTCACTGAACTGGCTCGAGCCACGAATGGTCTCCCCGTCGGGTGTGGCTTGCGGCACGGACTGGGTATTTTGATGTCGCGACTTCACTCGGCGACGTTGACTAGATCTATCATTGATCCTAGAGTTCAGATCCAGTGATACACCTTGTGGAACACATGTAGACCCTCGCCTGTCACAATTGGAGCACACGTCGGATTCCTCCGACGGAAAGATGCAGCGGACTTTCCGACGACGACCTACAGGCGGCCGTGGTCAATGTCAGGGGCTCGGAGACCCGCGGAGAAAGATTTAACACTCACATGCAGTACAGCTGCGTGTACCCTTTCTCATTTTTCGGTTCTGGATCATCAGGGACGGTCTGGTTGACTGGTTGGACTGGTTGGACCGGTCCACTTTGTTCGGACGAAAATGAGGTGGGAGTGAAGTTCGGACGGATTGGGGGTGGAGAAAGCGTGGCGAGGATGTCATTCGTCCGAGCCTCTCAGTCCCGAACCATGGAGTCTCTCAACTATCAATGCATGCATATTCTAGAGTGTCCCTACAGTGCAGGTAGTGCTTATTGGTCACTATTATTCTGTTTTCCATATAAATTAGACCACTCTCCGTCAGGGGTCTAATCTGCTGCTAGTAAATCTCGGTTCGTTCTATGAACGCCCAACCCAACCACGCTGTCTCACCCTCGAAACTACCCAAAGCCTAGTCATGTCTGCGACTATGCCTACAAAGCAAGTCCAGGTCATTTCACGACATCCGCTGCAATGTGCAAGTGAAACAGCTGTTTCCGTACTGGAGTCACCATTTGAACTAGGACCCCTAGATCATATGGTCTTACCATTCGTGCCTGTGGATGCTGTCTTTGTTTACAGGAAGCCCATATCAGATGCGAACGCAGACGATAATGCTCTGATCGAAGTTGGCCGTCTCCTCAGAGCTCTTGCTCTTGTGTTGGATTACTACCCACATCTAACAGGCCGTCTGCACTTCGACCCTAGGAGCCATCGCCCCAAGATTGTCAGTCTTGGTTTGGGAGCAGAGCTGCTTGAAGCGCGATGTAGCCTACGACTAGATGACATCAAGAGCAAATCCAACCGCCTTCTCCTCACTGACTTGCCGGATTCTGGAAATGCTCTACTGCCGCCCTTCGACTCGACGATAGAGGGTGTATGTCGAGATCCGATCTTGGCCATACAACATACTCGCTTCGCCTGTGGGAGTGTCGCCCTCGGTATCCGTATACATCATATTGCCTGTGATGCCTGTGGATTCTTTCAATTTGCACGCGACTTGGCACAGCTTTATCGTGCTCTTGGGCCTTCCGGACGAGGTGAAAATGTTGCAGGGACACCTATCCTTTCTCCGCCACCAGAGATCCGCTCCTATCTGCGAGATCCGGGTTCCATGACATCGGAAGAGCGCGAATCTGCACTCCAATCAAACCAATCAGCATACTACTTAGTTGATGATCCCGGCACAAGCTCCGATACTGAGCCCTCCACTGTAGCAAACAAACCAGCACCACCTCCAGTCCTCGGCCGGGTTCTACGATTCTCCAGTCAGAAGCTCCAAGAACTCAAAGCGCGAGCAACAGACCCCAATGGACAGGACTGGATATCAACAAATGACGCCCTAGTCGCCTACCTATACCAACTCACCTATCGTGCCCGACTCCAGCATCTAATCGCACAAGGAGTACCCGAAACCACCGCATTCAACCAACTCTCCACCGGTATCTTCTCTTCCATCGACATGCGCGGTCCAACCCGTCTCAACCTCCCACCCAGATACTTCCCCAACTGCGTATACGGCGCATACATGTACCTCGAGCCCCAGACACTGGCCCACGGGCCCCTTTGGAGAGTCGCAAAAGCCTTCCACGACATGTCACATGGCGTAATACCAGAGCAAATGAAACAAAACACACAATGGCTTGCAATCCAGCCAGACAAGAGCCGAATTAGAATGAACTTCGACTTCAACGGCAGCTTTACCACCTCGCAGTGGTCCAAATTTGACATGTACGTGGGGACCGACTTCGATGTGGATCAGCATGGCAATGCAATCCCGCCGGTTGTTGTTTCTCGGCCGTTCACGGATATCTCTCGGGTGGATGGTCTGGCTATGGTCATGGCTTCTGAGGTGCAGGTTTACCGTTTCATGAACACTAGCCCATCGAGTAAGGGTCAATGTGCTGTTTATGTGAACTATACGTTGAGTGAGCCGGTATGGGCTTATTTGGATCAGGATGTGGAGTTTGAGGAGTTATGTTGTTCCTAAGTTGGGACTTGTGTATGCCGTATTGCATCTTAACAACTGCTTGAATATACTCATCAATCTAGCGGATAGGTAGAATATCATATAGCTTGGACCTGTCACGTCTTGGTCAGCACCGACGTTGGGGAGAGAAGAAGGTCGCAAGAGAGGAGAACGAGCCGCGACCTTGTCGACAACGAGGAATTCGCCAAGGTAGTGAAGCTCGAAGTGACTATCTATGCCAATTGAATCAGCCGCAACATACCGATATCGGACACGATGGAGTTCCGTCAATGGTGCCAACCCTTCAAGCAATTCTTTATTGCGGTTACAATCACCGTTCCTGCAGTAGCACTGGAACATATAACATTAATTAGCATGCTCTTACATCAATTAGCATCATTGGTCTAGTGGTAGAATTCATCGTTGCCATCGATGAGGCCCGTGTTCGATTCACGGATGATGCACTCTCTTTTTTCTTTTTCATTCTTTTATCCCCATCTCACTACCCGTTCCTTAGTATCGTGAGTAACATTCCAATTGCTCATCTGGTTCTACTTTTGATTTTTTGATAGACCCCAGTGCTACTCAAAATGCCGTAGCTTCATGTGGCATCTCAAAATCTGTTTGAATTTCTCGACCTCCCGGCCACTTGACTGAGCCGACAGGAGAATTTTCGGCTATCCTATGGATAATACTAGACAAGATAGAATGTGCTATTTACAGAACCTAGTATGCACCCTTCCGCTTCTTGTACTTGGGTTGATCAACCGACTCAACTTCTCCAAGAGCAGTCAACACCGGAGTGGTGTAGCTCAACTCCAAGCTTTCCAACTTGCCTCCGGCGGAGTCGAGAGCCCACAAGGTCACCGCCAACCAGTTCGTTCCACGGTAGTTCAGAATTCCCTCAGGAACAGGGAAGCTGGTTTGAGGTCCGATGTTGCTGATGTATTTAGCATACTGGTATCCGTTAACGTAGACTTGCACGCGGTACGGGGATGGCGTAGTGCTGTTGCCGATGTTGAGGAACAGCGGCACGTCCCATCCCTTGGGAAGGTCAAGGTCAAACTTGGCGCTGTAGAAACCAATTCCTGCCTCGGAAAGTCCCTCAAGAGGGCTGGAAGACTTCCAGTTCTGACTCGGGGGCTCCGGCTGGTGGAAGCCTTGGCGCTCAGCGTAGAGACCGCCCTCGTTCAGGGGACCGCGAACCTTGTCTTCGTAGTCTTCACCGCCGAGGTTTCCGGTCAGCTTCCAGCTGATGGCACTGCCCGGACGCCCAGCAAGCAGGAAGTTCAGGATACCACGCGGGGTCTTCATCTCATCCTCACCAACGGTCCAGTTCTCCTCGAGGCCCATGTTGTCGATCACGACGGTGATCACATACGACTTGCCTGCCTGGAGTTGAGGCAATTTGTAGGTGGCGTTGTAGTCGGAGTTCACGTAGAGACCGGTCCAAGACCCGAGGTAGGTTCCGTTCAGCCAGACAGAGCTTCCGAACGCTGATCCACCCTGTGTATCGATCGAAAAGGTGCTTTCGTTGCCTGTGGCGGTAAAGTGTCCGCGGTAGAGCAAGTAACCGGTGTGGAACCCGTAATCGGATGAGTACAGAGAGGTAGGAGTCGTCAGAGAACGAAGCGTATTCTTGGTCTCTTTGAGATCCGCGGCAGGCCAGAGAGAATCATCGTAGGATGACTGGATCTCAGGAAGGGTGTCGACATACTTCCAGTCCAAGTCCTTCAGGCTGGGAAGAGAGATATCAGGGGCATTGTATTCGACAGTGGCTGACCAGATCCCGTTCTTGTCGACGGTGTGCGACGTCTTATCTCCATTGATGAATAGATTCTTAGCCGTAGACGGGACACCGATGACTTCAACGGAAGTGGTTGCGTTAAAGTCTGCGGTGAGGTAAAGTCCGCTGCCCTTCAGGTACGCAGTCCGAACAAGGTAGCCCGCTTTGACGATGATGGATGAGGCGACCGCCTCCGGGGTGCTGAACCCTGGTGAAGTGCCATCTGTCGCAAGTTGAGGTACCCAGTAGTTATAGGCAGAGTTCCTGTCTTTTACGAGTTAGCTTAGCGTAACAAAACTAGGTCGGAGTGAGCATACCAAGGAGAAGAACCTTCAGGTCGCCAACTTGGATGATGCGGCGAGTGGTCGACACATCCCAGCCTACAACAACAGACGAGGTCTGCTTTGACGAAATACCAGACTCGGATCCTTCGATAACCGTGACGTTCGATTTGGACGAAATGGCAAGTTCGTGGTGCTCACCTGCACCTCCGTAAAGCACGAGAACCTTTCCGTCGGCGAACTTCTTCCAGGTAAAGACCTCGGCGGTAGAGTAGATAATGTTCGTTCCAGAGACATTGTAGTCTGTCACGTGAATTTTCGAATCGCGACCATTAAGCGTGAGCGTGCCACCAAGCTGAGGAATAGTCACGGTACCAGCACTGGTAGGAAGGCGAAGCTTGTATGAGGTTGAATCCTCGCTGCTGTAGTCCGAATGTCTGACCACGAAGAAAGAGCCAGTGCTGTTTCCGAGCAGAGGCGTTACAGTCAGGTCCGTGGTATCAGCATATCCGGAAGTTGTCAGATTGCCAGGACTGGCCGTCAAATAACCCGGAGACACTTTGGCGAAGTTGCCAAGAAGCTTAAGTTCACTGTACTTCTCGCGGGTGATGTTGCGGGACTCAGTCACAGCCGAACCATAGTCGTAGGAGGTGTATCCGTTAGGATAACCGAGGTTGCCCCAGTTAGTTCCACCAAAGATCTACCCAAATTAGCCATATACTAGCCTAGGTTTCGAGCACACGTACCATGTACAAGTTCATAATGGCAATTTGGAAGCTGAAGTCGTTCTTATAGAACACTCTCTCGAACTCATTGTTCAGGAGTTCAGAGCACGCAGCGAAACCGGGTCCTCCCCAAGGGTCGTACGAACCACCTTGGAACTGCGAGGTGTTAAACTCGAAATGCTATTCAAGGTACGTATACTGACCTCAACTATCGCATATGGCGTTGTCGGGCTTTGCTCAAGATGAAGGGTACGGAAGTTGGTAGGCAGGTCACCCGAGGGCCATACCGTAGGGTTCGCCTGGACAAATTAGCGACGAGCACATTGAGATGCAAGATAAACATACACAGTCGAATCCAAGCCTATAGTTGTCAGCCGGTGTTTTCGATCAAGAACATGCTAAACTCACGGATAGCTATCATGGCCGTAAATGTCAACTGCCCCCTTACCAGTTCCAGGAGCGTTGTTCCCCGAAGCCGAAGCATCGTTGTTGATCAACGGGATCACGACACCGGCATTACGAGCCTGGTCTTCAACGTACTGCATGTACACCGGATCGGGAAACTCGACACCGCAGCAGCCACTAGTGTACTCATTCTCGGGCTGATACAGGATAATCGGACCGCCATTGGTAATCTGATACTTGGCAATGGTTGCAGCGATGTGAGAAACGTAGCTATGAAAAAATTCAGCACACGCCATAGGTCTCTGGGGCGAGTTTTGCCATACTTATCAGTAGCTTCCAAGTAGGCCTTGTCGCTTGTGCGGAGGGTGCCATTAACCCTCTGCAACCACCCCGGGAATCCGCCACCGGAACTCTCTGCGTTGATGTACGGGCCCGGACGAGCGAGCAGATAGATACCTGCTTCCGAGGCCGCGTCGAAGAACGGCTCCAGATCAAAAATGCCATCTGCCCTGTATTGCCCGGGTTTTCCTTCAACGAGAGCCCAGTCGACATAGAAGGATACGCAGTTGAATCCTAGCGCCTTGACCTTTTGGAAGATGTCAAGCTGGAGCTCTTTTACTGGTAGTCTAGAGCGATCAAGAAACCCCCGAGTCAACACAAGTACAGAGAGAAGGAAGGGCAGTATTACCGGAATGGGTGGAACTCGCCACTGAAGATCATGATTCTTTCGCCATTGATAAAGAGGGATTTATCATCCCAAGTGACCTAGTAGACACCATGTCAGTTGCCAGAAGTGCTGCCATCCAAAGAAGTGCATACGTATTTCTGCAACAGTTCCCGCTTGGCCGGGTCAGAATGCTCCGTGAGAGTAAAGCCATTGATCCGATGCTTAATGGACGCCCCAGCAGCATGTGCAGCCAGCAAGGCAATAGCACAAGCGGAGGAAAGCTTCATGATGCAGCACACCCGGGGCGTAAGTAAACGCCAATGGGTCGAAGGGCACGGAGGGTGTCAAATTCCGCGAGAGCTCGGGGAAGCATCATGCCAGCAGGCTCCGGGGGAATGAGGCACTTTATTGCCTCATTCCACCCCCTCAATGTCCGTCCCGACGCTGAATAATGTACGGAGCTGTGAACATACTAGCCGAGCCACAAGTCGGATCTTAGCAACACCGACATCATCGTAGGAGGGGAAGTGGGACCTGTCGAGTCAATTGGTGGTCTCGAGTGTCTGGCATGGGGTTAGTTGGGCATAGCGTAGCGGGCAGGGTCCGAACAGGGCCACGATGCTCAAGCAAGCTCGCAAGAAGCAGTGAGATTGTTAAGGTGAAGCAGGCAACTGGAATGACGATCCTCCACAGGGACGACGCCTCATCCGGTTAGTCTGGCCCGGTTTCTCCGCATTGGCTCTCCCGCGCCGGTTAATTGCTTCTCTACTCTCCCGCTCCCCTCTTCTCGTCTGCAACTTGCTCATCTATCCCTCCCCATATCTGCTGGTCTTTCAGGGAACAGTGACTATCTCATGCAGGAACGTTTAAAGATATGCTCCCTCTCTCCTGACGATCAAATGTCGGTTGGCTTTCTCTTAGATGAGCGTTCTCTTGTCATGGTGCCCACCCACTGCGGGAGGACCCTGGAGCCGAAGCCCAATCAGCCTAAGCTTCCGGATGGCTGACCTGCGGGGTGCCACCGGAGAAATCTTGGTTTCTTGTCCGTGGTGGATATTGCGATCACTGACCTGTCTGGAAGTCTAGTCAGTCATCCTCCAAACTATATGACGAAATCCTTCGCCGCTCGCCAACCGAAATCATGCCACCAGATATGACTGGAGGAACAACTTTTGTATACATCTGTGTCCGAGGACGTGCGCACCCCAAAGGTAAAGTAGCAAGACATGCAACTTCAAGCAAACAACACAGTTCAGCTGTCCGAGCTTGATTAAATTAGCCGACGGGTCCAGGCCAACTAGCGATACATGCTCTGACGTGTCTGCCTTAAGTATCTCCGACCATTGTCCGAAGTCTATTTATTCGAGTGAAATTGTTCAGTCTATCGAATGGGTTTCATCTTTGAGCACTAAATGCTCATCCATGTAGGATTCCGGATAGTTGGCTTACTTCCCGGACATACCGATCTCAAGGACTCTGAGCCCCACAGACAATGAATTACCATAGCAGCCATCAGATAAGAGCTGGATCGTGGCTTAACTAAGCTACGGCAGGCATGTTTTCACCAAGTGAGAATCTCAAAGCACCTCGCTCTCCTAGTAGGCGTGAATCTCAATCCGATGCCATATTACGGTCTGTCAAGCAGCAAACGACTGCAAGGTCATTTTACATACAATCACGGTGCCGTGACCCCGAGATGTCTTCGACCAGGATATTCTATAGTTACATCCAAGCACCAAGCGAGAGTCTCTAAGATGCATGAGTCTGCTCGCATTGACATTGTAGTATCCAGCCAGAGCTTGACATGTCAAACGCGGGAAGAGCAAGCGCAATAAACGAACGAGATCACTAAATCACTTTAATATGCAATACACATCAACATATCATCCAGGATTATCAGGATCCCACTATCTGGTCTGACCTATTGTGTGAGAAGAGCCTATTCTATAAAGGCAAACGCTCATTTCACTGTCAATTGTCCTTAATACGCAAGTAGCTGTCTGTGCGACGATACTTTCGGCTGGAGGAAGTAGGCTTTGAGCTTCTGAACAATGCTTCATCGTGAGAAGACCAGAAGGCATTTAGGAAGCTGGATATTTAGACAATCACACCCCTACTCTGTTCCCACCCATGACACAGGATTTACGATTTCGACAATAAGCAGCCCTGGACGTGAGCCCGTCCTCTGCTGCTCTCAAGTCTGACACCGTTGCCTCATCGCATAAACTAGACACAAAACTTCCCTGCATAAGTATGTTGCGGGCATATGATGCAGCCAACATATGTGCTACCCAAGGTACTCAGACGCGAGATGCTTGACAGGCATAATTCTCACAGCCCACTACTACAAGCCGTTGATCACGTCAGCTCCACTTTCAGAAACCTTAGAGCAGAGCTGACCGATAAGCTTAAATCGAAATCTTGATCTTCTTTCAAGATCGGGTACCTTGGTCGCATGGTTCTTTGTGACCAGATATTATGCTGAAAAGCGACAGGTAAACCAGGCATTAGATGCAGAAGAAAACCTACAGAGCGGACGCCCGCACTACCTTGCATGAGCACACAACACAATCCTGAACTGACTAATACAGCAATATGCCTCGGCTCGCCAGCCATTACCCCGAGGCATCAAGCAAATGAGCAACAGACCACTCATACGGCTAAACTTCGGGTACACCGAAGACCGACCGACACTATGCATGCAGCTTACCGGCCATGGCCCACTGCAGCTTCCAGACCACCAAAAACCGTAGTGGCGAAGCATGCCCTCATTCAAGAATCCAATTAGGAGGAACAGACTGATGCTAAGACGCTAACCCGCATCACGGAGGTGACTATACCCCGCACTTCCGCTGTAAAACAAATGGCTAATATTGTCTCTCTATAAGGCAATTGGACAGAAGATGAGGGGCTTGATAATACCAAATCCCTAGACTCGAGCCAACGGGCTTTGTAAAAAGCAAAGTTGGATCATATGATGGTCACTGCGGAAGACTAATTCTTAGTGTGCAGTGCATTATTAGCATACTATACCTCAGGAAGGGGAATCATGAAGGATGGCTAGAGTTTATTCTTCTGGCCTGTTACACATATGCGCGTTTAGAGTTCTCTCCTAGATGACACCCCTTTCTACTATACTTGAACATCTCCAACCCTCTTAGGACAACAAGTAACGACACCCTATGAATGGAGGGCGAGAAGGTTCAAGCAAACACAGAATAACCAATAAGATGATTCACTATAGGAGGGGAACTGCAATAGTCGATCTATATGGCATGCTACTATGATGCAGATCTGCAAGGGTCAAGATGAAGAGCACATAACTTAGTCTAGTTAGTCATGAACAGGCTGGCGGGGTTGTGTAACACAGTAAATGACGGAAACAGCAATTGAATGATCACACTCTCTCTCTGTCCTCAAGACTGCTCTTATCATATACCAGAGATCAATTTGACGAATGGAGGGTATCTAGGTCATCATCTCGCATCTCTAGTACTATAGTTACCTCGAATAACAGATCCTACCACTGCATAATCGTGCATCGGTCCACAGCCACCACTTAGCTGAAACACCTAAAAGCGTAGTACTACGCAGCTAGATTTAGATGCAGCAGCAAGTATCCCAGTACGTAGGAAACATAGTTTCGGCGTATAAAAGATGAACAAGGAATGAACCATTCATCACGTGTAGCGTGCGGGGAGAGAAAAGGGGGTTTGCTGGGACAAGAGAAAAAGAGGAGCTGTGAAGTAAGTAGTTACAAAGAGAATCCATTTTAAAGCCAAGGTAGCCCCTCCTCCCCATCTATCTCTCTACTTTTTTTCTTCTCCTGAATAAAGGCGTCACCCCTTACGTCTACCACTTGTTCTTTTGTCTCACATCTGTACAACAACATCCCACGCAACCTACCCACCTGGCATATACCCTTTCAATCAGAAGATTCTGAAATATACCCTCAACGAAATAAACACAATGACCATCACCGAACCCACCACCTCCCTCCCCACGCACCAACGCGCCGCTATCCGACAAGGCACCGGCCCGACTTCCACAACCACCATCTCAACCATTCCCGTCGAGAGACCCGGCCCAGGCCAAATCCTCGTGAAAATCACCTGGACGGGTCTCTGCGGCTCCGACAAGGGCCTCCTGCACGATGAATGGGCCGGTTTCGGGGTAAGTATGAGGCCCGAGGCCAAGGGGATCGCCGGCCACGAGGGGGTCGGTAGAGTAGTTGCCGTAGGCGAGGGGATGGAGAAGCGATGGAAGATCGGTGACCGAGCGGGGATTAAGTGGATCGCGAGTGTGTGTGGGGAGTGTGAGTTCTGTTTGACGGGGACGGATGAAGTGAATTGCATCAATCAGAAGAATAGTGGGTTTACGATGCCGGGGACGTTTCAGGAATATTGTCTCGCCGATGGACGGTATGCGTCTAGGATTCCGGATGGGGTGAGTGATGAAGAGGCTGGACCGATGATGTGTGGGGGGTTGACGGTTTATGTGGCTTGTAAGAGGTTAGTAATTTCTCCTCTTGCTCTTGAGTGAGGGCTTGGTCTGATGAATGATGGTTCAGGTCGAATGTCAAGGCTGGACAGTGGATTGTCCTCCCTGGTGCTGGGGGTGGGCTTGGTCACTTGGCTATTCAGTTTGCGCGGGCCATGGGCATGAGGATCATTGCTATTGATAGTGGCGAGGAGAAGCGCGAGCTGTGCCAGCGGCTTGGGGCAGAGGTGTTCGTCGATTTCCAGCAGACGCCCGATGTGGCGGCAGAGGTCATGAAGGTCACCAAGTATGGTGCCCATGGCATTATTGTGACAGCGGCCACCAAGGCTGTCTATGCGGCGGCACCGGGGTATCTTCGGCCAAATGGCACGATGGTGGCTATTGGGTTGCCCAATGATCCTACGATCTTGGCAGGTGCACCGCCGCTGATGATAGCACTCAAGAAACTGAACATCGTGGGATCCATAACTGGTACTTTGCAAGACACCCAGGAGGCGCTGGAGTTTACTGCAAGAGGCATTGTTCATGTGAGTATTGTTGTAAACCTGGTATGAAGTGGATTGTGCTGACGGGTAATAGCCTGTTCTAACCAAGGGCAAATTGGAGGACTTGGACTCATGGGTCGATAAGATGGCCAAGGGCCAGCTGGCTGGTCGTACTGTCCTTCAAGTGAGCAGTGACAACTGAGTCCAGCATCAAGATATCAGTTGCCTGGAACACTTGATCCACGAATTTTTTGATTGGTTTGTGTACTGCAGAACAAAGCAAGAAACCTGGTCATTCCTGT